ACACACAAAATTTGAACAAAATCGAGCCAGTGGTTAAACTGCTATCTCTGGAACAAAAAACGGCGGAATAATAAATAATAATAATAATAAATAATAAATCGAACGATTACAATAGGGCTCTACAGCCTTTCGGCTTGGAGCCCTAATAAATAATAATAATAATAAATCGAACGATTACAATAGGGCTCTACAGCCTTTCGGCTTGGAGCCCTAATAATGGAAATCTTGATATCTTGCAATTTGATGAATCATCTGCTACAGATGAACACAGCATCGTTCATCGGAACATTGCCACATCGCAGCATAGGCGATGACTTGATGCCACTCCACGGCCATCCTAATTTTCTCATACAAGTGTCAGTTTTTACATCTTTATAACTGAACACTATAGCAGCTTTGTCATTGTGTTAATGAAGGGCAATGATACTCCAAAACCTGATGCCCAATGGCGCAGTGTTGAAGAACGAATATAATGAGGTGCTGGAATATTGCTCGACATGAAGGGAAAGTTGACAATTGGAAAATTGAAGTCATCCCTCTTGTGTGGATATTTTGTGTCACTTTGAATCTTTATGCATAGATCTAAGTGGGAAACAGATGAGGCGGTCTCACTTGTCTCTTTTATTTCTAGCTCAGCTGGAGTTTGAAGGGGAGAGATGCGTTGTTGAATGAACAGTTCTTTACACAAATCTTTTAGTTGTACATATATAATGTTGTACTGCCTTAAATATAGCTTCATTTCATGTAACACCGTGATCTGCTTTGCCGTATAACAGTAGATAATTAAATTTTCGTTGTGTTCATTGAAATTCCTGCATTCTGATTAGCTGAATTGGTCACGTGTTATTGCATTCATTTCCCAATTTAAGCCACATTTAACATTAAGCCACGCCCACCGAGGCGCACTACTTTTATTACTGCGGAAGGTCGTGGAATCCCAATATTACAGTCGAGGGAATTCCCTTTCTTCTCACGTGTATCGTCATGCACAGGACATTTAGCAACTTTCATGAATATGCATTGTCCAAACTACCCTTTGAGACCGAAGGCCGAGAATGAATGAAAAAGCAAACGTGCAGGCTCGCTCGCCTGTTTTTTTCCCGCTCGCCTCGGTTCAACTTTCACTTATCACAAATATCAGAGATTGATGAGATTTTGTTTTTGCAAGTGTTTTATCAGTCAGTTGATTGGAACAGTACACAGATGTACTTTTGCTAATTATGCAGAAATTTTGTATGGAGATATTATTTTTTCTCAGCTACAGCTACCAAATCCGATATATTTTTTATTTAAAACTATGAGCCTGAATGTTAAAAAAAGAAAAAACCCTTGCAACAATGTAATTTTTATGGCAGCAACTGCTATATTTTTCAGCAGTCTGAAGCATCCATTTCTTTTATAAAAAAATTGGGGACAATCTATTTCGTTAATGTGGTGGTGCTAAGGGACACTCTGTTGTGGGTACGGCAGTGATGACGAAGAACAGCGCAAGCTGAAGTTGGCCGCCGTTTTTGCCTGGCGGACCCTGTCCTCTCTGGCACTGGTCTTCCATGGACGCCCTGATCTCGGCAAGTCCCTCACATGTCCAGTCAATGTGTGTTTTCTAATGAATCTACTGATTATAGTATGATTAATATTCAACACGGTGACAATAGACTCACATGACAAGCCAGTTTGGTGCATGCCAATGATTTGTCATCTTTAATTTTCTGGAGTACGATTAGGTATTTCAGTTACAAATCTTTCCAAATACCAAATTGGTGGAACTTTGATTCAAATTAATAGCACTAAAGACGCATGCAATTTGTCATCAAACAGGAATTTCTTTAAAGAGACCCCTTATAATTAGGTGTGCATATGGCTTCCATAAACACACCTACAAGGTTGGGCCGTTAAGGTGACTACCATTCTACAGGCAGGTGATGTGCCAACACAGTGTACGATTTGGAAATGAACTCGCAATTACACTTTTATTTTGAGGAGGTGTTTATTTATATTATTTTTAGAAGTTGTCACTGCCTTCATTGATTGAGTTGCTAGTAAAAGAGAAGTGAAGTGGTGTCGTGGCCAGATCTGAACAGCAGTCAACAGCAACGGGTGGAGGTTCCAGAAGGACTTTGCACCAGAATTAGAATTATCTACCTCAGTTCGCCACATTCGTATGGCATGCCTTGATTATTCTAGACATTTCCTGAAGAGATAGTTCCTAAGAGGCTGGTAGTACCTATATATGAGCGACGTGAGGGCAATTCAAGGCTCTTTTCGACTTGACCTCATCTAATCTACCTGTCGTGTGCCGCTACCTATTTGGGAACGCCGAATATGTAGTTCAACGGTAACTGTATCAGGGTTACGAACTTAGAGACATTGGGGGAGGCGTACGCTAACACAACGTTGCAGGCAGATTGCAACCATCTAATAAAATAAAATACAGTGAGAATTATTTTTATAGATAAGGGGAAGTTGTGTATTCCCTTCCATGTCCCGGGACATGCATGCAATTCATATTGGATCAACTTGAGCACATTAATCATGACCTGAAATAACCTACTCTCGTTGGTGGGCCTATTATGACCAAAGCCATGTGGTACTTTTTTCTATTCGTCCAGGAAAGTTCATACTACTCCATACTACTCAGCAAAATATTTCTTATCTTATTACACACCAACATAAAATATCCACGATAGAGAAATGGCCGATGAATGGCCAAATGAGCCTTACACTGTTGCTTGTGTGTCAGACATGCAACGTCTTCATCTATACCTGCCTTGTGGATACAGAGATGAATAGTATGAAGCTATGAATAGAATTGGAGTCCCAAGACATCAGCACAAAAGAACATTTAGTTCTGTTGAGTTGAAATGTAACAGCAATAGCTTTGATAAAATAGTGTCATTTATTCACAACAAAGTGACATGCTACAACAAGTGCTTTTAACAGTCACCTTAAGTATATAATGACATCGACAGGCATACTTACAGGCATTCATAACACAGAACATGACTTAGAGTAAGTCAAAGACTCACACAGAACTACAATATCATATCATAAAAGCTGTGCCGTCAGTATACATATAAAGGCTGATCATATGATGTTACACTCATTGGGTTTACATGAGTTCTTTCGTAACCTCAGAAATCATATAAGGAATATATAAGGACAGGGTATCTAATCAAAATATCAGGTGATATACAATACAACGGACAAAAGCAGATGTTAATACCTGTGTGTCAGACAGGAGCAGACCTTACACCAGTGTGTCAGACAGGAGCAGGCCTTACACGTGTGTCAGACAGGAGCAGGCCTTACACCAGTGTGTCACACAGGAGCAGGCCTTACACCAGTGTCAGCAGATCCTCCACCAGTGTGTCGGACAGGAGCAGGCCTTACACAGGTGTGTCAGATAAGAGCAGGCCTACACCAGTATGTCAGACAGGAGCAGGCCTTAAACCAGTGTCAGCAGATCCTCCACCAGTGTGTCAGACAGGAGCAGGCCTTACACCAGTGTATCACACAGGAGCAGGCCTTACACCAGTGTGTCAGACAGGAGCAGGCCTTACACCAGCGTGTCAGACAGGAGCAGGCCTTACACCAGTGTGTCTGCCGGAGCAGGCCTTACACCAGTGTGTCTGATAGGAGCAGGCCTTACCCCAGAGTGTGTAAGACAGGAGCAGGCCTTACACCAGCGTGTCTGATAGGAGCAGGCCTTACACAAGTGTGTCTGACAGGAGCAGGCCTTACACCAGAGTGTGTAAGACAGGAGCAGGCCTTACACCAGCGTGTCAGACAGGAGCAGGCCTTACACCAATGTCAGCAGATCCTCCACCAGTGTGTCAGATAGGAGCAGGCCTTACACAGGTGTGTAAGACAGGAGCAGGCCTTACACCAGTGTCAGCAGATTCTCCACCAGTGTGTCAGACAGGAGCAGGCCTTACACAGGTGTGTCAGATAGGAGCAGGCCTTACACAGGTGTGTCAGATAGGAGCAGGCCTTACACCAGTGTGTCTGTCAGAAGCAGGCCTTACACCAGTGTCAGCAGATCCTCCACCAGTGTTTCAGACAGGAGCAGGTCTTACACCAGTGTGTCAGACAGGAGCAGGTCTTACACCAGTGTGTCACACAGGAGCAGGCCTTACACCAGTGTGTCACACAGGAGCAGGCCTTACACCAGTGTGTCACACAGAAGCAGGCCTTACACCAGTGTGTCTGACAGGAGCAGGCCTTACACCAGTGTGTCAGACAGGTGCAGGCCTTACACCAGTGTGTCACACAGGAGCAGGCCTTACACCAGTTTGTCTGATAGGAGCAGGCCTTACACCAGAGTGTGTAAGACAGGAGCAGGCCTTACACCAATGTGTCACACAGCAGGCCTTACACCAGTGTGTCTAACAGGAGCAGGCCTTACACCAGTGTCAGCAGATCCTCCACCAGTGTGTCAGATAGGAGCAGGCCTTACACCAGTGTGTCTGACAGAAGCAGGCCTTACACCAGTGTCAGCAGATCCTCCACCAGTGTTTCAGACAGGAACAGGCCTTACACCAGTGTGTCAGACAGGAGCAGGCCTTACACCAGTGTCAGCTGATCCTCCGACAGTGTGTCTGACATGAGAAGGCCTTACACCAGTGTGTCACACAGGAGCAGACCTTACACCAGTGTCAGCAGATCCTCCACAAGTGTGTCAGACAGGAGCAGGCCTTACACAAATGTGTCACACAGGAGCGGGCCTTACACCAGTTTGTCTGATAGGAGCAGGCCTTACACCAGAGTGTGTAAGACAGGAGCAGGCCTTACACCAATGTGTCACACAGCAGGCCTTACACCAGTGTGTCTGACAGGATTAGGCCTTACACCAGTGTCAGCAGATCCTCCACCAGTGTGTCAGACAGGAGCAGGCCTTACACAGGCGTGTCAGACAGGAGCAGACCTTACACAGGTGTGTAAGACAGGAGTAGGCCTTACACCAGTGTGTCACACAGGAGCAGGCCTTACACAGGTGTGTCTGCCAGGAGCAGGCCTTACACAAGTGTGTAAGACAGGAGCAGGCCTTACACCAGTGTCAGCAGATCCTCCACCAGTGTGTCAGACAGGAGCAGGCCTTACACAGGTGTGTCAGACAGGAGCAGGCCTTACACCAGTGTCAGCAGATTCTCCGACAATGTGTCTGACATGAGCAGGCCTTACACCAGTGTCAGCAGATCCTCCACAAGTGTGTCAGATAGGAGCAGGCCTTACACAGGTGTGTCAGACAGGAGCAGGCCTTACACCAGTGTCAGCAGATTCTCCGACAGTGTGTCTGACATGAGCAGGCCTTACACCAGTGTCTGCAGATCCTCCGACAGTGTCTCTGACAGGAGCAGGCCTTACACCAGTGTCAGCAGATCCTCCACAAGTGTGTCAGACAGGAGCAGGCCTTACACAAATATGTCAGACAGTAGCAGGCCTTACACCAGTGTGTCAGACAGGAGCTGGCCTTACACCAGTGTGTCACACAGGAGCAGGCCTTACACCAGTGTGTCTGACAGGAGCAGGCCTTACACCAGTGTCAGCAGATCCCCCACCAGTGTGTCAGACAGGAGCAGGTCTTACACAGGTGTGTCAGACAGGAGCAGACCTTACACCAGTGTGACAGACAGGAGCAGGCCTTACACCAGTGTGTCACACAGGAGCAGGCCTTACACAAGTGTGTCTGACAGGAGCAGGCCTTACACCAGTGTGTCAGACAGGTGCAGGCCTTACTCCAGTGTGTCTGACAGAAGCAGGCCTTACACCAGTGTGTCAGACAGGACCAGGCCTTACACAGGTGTGTCAGACAGGAGCAGACCTTACACCAGTGTCAGCAGATCCTCCACCAGTATGTCAGATAGGAGCAGGCCTTACACAGGTGTGTCAGATAGGAGCATGCCTTACACCAGTGTGTCTAACAGGAGCAGGCCTTACACCAGTGTCAGCAGATTCTCCACCAGTGTGTCAGACAGGAGCAGGCCTTACACAGGTGTGTCAGATAGGAGCATGCCTTACACCAGTGTGTCTAACAGGAGCAGGCCTTACACCAGTGTCAGCAGATCCTCCACCAGTGTGTCAGACAGGAGCAGGCCTTACACCAGTGTCAGCAGATTCTCCGACAGTGTGTCTGACATGAGCAGGCCTTACACCAGTGTCAGCAGATCCTCCACAAGTGTGTCAGATAGGAGCAGGCCTTACACAGGTGTGTCAGACAGGAGCAGGCCTTACACCAGTGTCAGCAGATTCTCCGACAGTGTGTCTGACATGAGCAGGCCTTACACCAGTGTCTGCAGATCCTCCGACAGTGTGTCTGACAGGAGCAGGCCTTACACCAGTGTCAGCAGATCCTCCACCAGTGTGTCAGACAGGAGCAGGCCTTACACAGGTGTGTCAGACAGGAGCAGGCCTTACACCAGTGTCAGCAGATTCTCCGACAGTGTGTCTGACATGAGCAGGCCTTACACCAGTGTCTGCAGATCCTCCGACAGTGTGTCTGACAGGAGCAGGCCTTACACCAGTGTCAGCAGATCCTCCACAAATATGTCAGACAGTAGCAGGCCTTACACAGGTGTGTCAGACAGGAGCAGGCCTTACACCAGTGTGTCACACAGGAGCAGGCCTTACACCAGTGTGTCTGACAGGAGCAGGCCTTACACCAGTGTCAGCAGATCCCCCACCAGTGTGTCAGACAGGAGCAGGTCTTACACAGGTGTGTCAGACAGGAGCAGACCTTACACCAGTGTGACAGACAGGAGCAGGCCTTACACCAGTGTGTCACACAGGAGCAGGCCTTACACAAGTGTGTCTGACAGGAGCAGGCCTTACACCAGTGTGTCAGACAGGTGCAGGCCTAACACCAGTGTGTCTGACAGAAGCAGGCCTTACACCAGTGTGTCAGACAGGACCAGGCCTTACACAGGTGTGTCAGACAGGAGCAGACCTTACACCAGTGTCAGCAGATCCTCCACCAGTGTGTCAGATAGGAGCAGGCCTTACACAGGTGTGTAAGACAGGAGCAGGCCTTACACCAGTGTCAGCAGATTCTCCACCAGTGTGTCAGACAGGAGCAGGCCTTACACAGGTGTGTCAGATAGGAGCATGCCTTACACCAGTGTGTCTAACAGGAGCAGGCCTTACACCAGTGTCAGCAGATCCTCCACCAGTGTGTCTGACAGGAGCAGGCCTTACACAGGTGTGTCAGACAGGAGCAGACCTTACACCAGTGTCAGCAGATTCTCCGACAGTGTGTCTGACATGAGCAGGCCTTACACCAGTGTCAGCAGAACCTCCACCAGTGTGTCAGATAGGAGCAGGCCTTACAGAGGTGTATAAGACAGGAGCAGGCCTTACACCAGTGTGTCACACAGGAGCAGGCCTTACACAGGTGTGTCACACAGGAGCAGACCTTACACCAGCGTGTCACACAGGAGCAGGCCTTACACCAGTGTGTCACACAGGAGCAGGCCTTACACCAGTGTGTCACACAGGAGCAGGCCTTACACCAGTGTGTCACACAGGAGCAGGCCTTACCCCAGTGTGTCAGACAGGAGCAGGCCTTACATCAGTGTCAGCAGATCCTCCACCAGTGTGTCAGACAGGAGCAGGCCTTACATCAGTGTCAGCAGATCCTCCACCAGTGTGTCAGACAGGAGCAGGCCTTACCCCAGTGTGTCACACAGGAGCAGGCCTTACATCAGTGTCAGCAGATCCTCCACCAGTGTGTCAGACAGGAGCAGGCCTTACACAGGTGTGTCAGACAGGAGCAGGCCTTACACCAGCGTGTCACACAGGAGCAGGCCTTACACAAGTGGGTCAGACAGGAGCAGGCCTTACACCAGTGTGTCACACAGGAGCAGGCCTTACACCAGTGTGTCACACAGGAGCAGGCCTTACATCAGTGTCAGCAGATCCTCCACCAGTGTGTCAGACAGGAGCAGGCCTTACATCAGTGTGTCACACAGGAGCAGGCCTTACCCCAGTGTGTCACACAGGAGCAGGCCTTACATCAGTGTCAGCAGATCCTCCACCAGTGTGTCAGACAGGAGCAGGCCTTACATCAGTGTGTCACACAGGAGCAGGCCTTACCCCAGTGTGTCACACAGGAGCAGGCCTTACATCAGTGTCAGCAGATCCTCCACCAGTGTGTCACACAGGAGCAGGCCTTACCCCAGTGTGTCACACAGGAGCAGGCCTTACACAGGTGTGTCAGACAGGAGCAGGCCTTACACCAGCGTGTCACACAGGAGCAGGCCTTACATCAGTGTGTCACACAGGAGCAGGCCTTACCCCAGTGTGTCACACAGGAGCAGGCCTTACATCAGTGTCAGCAGATCCTCCACCAGTGTGTAAGGCAGGAGCAGCCCCAACCCCAATGTGACTGAGAGTGATTTTTGTTTAATGCCACACTGAACAGTATTTCAGAGGGGGGAAACTGGGAAGTGATGCAGATAACTAGCCCTTGTTATATGATGAAACCCACGAGCATTGTATTGAGCTTACAAATCAAGTATGATAATGAGGGAAAATCTGTTGTACGAACCAACTTTCAGCAGTCAGTGGCATGCAGTCATTGTTTCATCAACAATGTCCACAGTTGAATGCAGATGGAGGTGAAAATAAACCCCAACTTATTATCATTATCATCTACTAAAATGTCAGCTCCATCATTTCATTTTGCTCCCTATGTCATAAGTGACTAGCCTGTACACAAACTGTTGACATTCTTTTTACGCTAGATCCACAATGACAAGGCAAAATAATGACAGATGGTCGTTTATGAAGTTAATATCACTTCTTGCCATTGGTTAATCTCTCGAAAATGTTTCCTTAGAAACTGTAAATTTCTCATTCATCTCGTCAATTGAGACTGTTCGTTTCGCAAAGCGCCATTTTTGTTACTTAACCAGCATGTATTCTTTCGCTTCCAACAGCGGTCTCCTAGTTTTCAAAAATATTTTTTGTTAAAGTTGATTTTGTTTATAATCATATCTGAATGTATGATAAAGAATTTTTGTGACCCTAAATATTTTTTTATTCTTTTGTTTATATTTTTTAAGATTTTGCAAACATGAAACTACTTTTTAAGTCGCAAATACAAGGGGTGATGAACCGTCTGTGTGTTAGGTAGGGAGAATTTACGTTTCAAGGTTCTACATCTGTAATGAAATACGCCATTCGTGAAAATATCTCCTTGACGACGGGCCATTATCACGCCCTTTGTTAGGTGACGTCATAGGGTAGGGATAGTGACATCATGTTTAATAGTGATGTCATCGGGTTTGTTCTATAACGTTTCCATATTTGAAAAAGTGGGTCAGTGACTTTAGTGTTGATTGCAGTAAATGTTTCAAAACCAACATTGCTGTTTCTTCTTATTTGAAAACAAATTCCATTCATTTTAGCTATAATAACGGTAACACTATTTTTCAGGGGATTTTCAATTGCAGAAGCTCTTGGTCTTTTCAACTGCCCTCCTTCATCTGGCAGTTAATGGAAGACCTAGGGCTTCTGCAAATGATAATGCCCTGAAATATAGTGTAACTCTTATAACGATGGACAACATGCTGCTCAATTAGACTTTTAGCTATTGGCTCTGATCGTCAACAAACTATAAAAATATACTTTTGATTGCACATCCACACACATATCGGATCTCAAATTAAAAAAATGAAACTTTGGTTTAAGTGAACTGAAGAGTAGAAATGAGGCTTGTTACAAAAACAACAAAACTTCCAAATATTCAATGAAGCTGTATTAACTTCCTATTTCCTGTGAAAGCTGGTATTGACTTCAAGTTTACATAGTCATGTCCACTGTTGAATCTCGATCTGTAGAGTTGCGAGATACTGACACAATAGACAAGTGTCGACTTCTGATACCTAATAAAATCACTGTTGGTAAAAGGGTAAACATACATCACACAAATCGATACATGATATACTTTCACACAATCAACAAATTGTCACCTTTACACTATCAAATGAAACGTGAGTTTGCCCTTATTTTTCATCAAGCATAAGCTCACTTCTTGCATCACTGTATAAAAAACAAGCCAAGTAGCCAAATATCTGCAATGAAAACAGAAGAAAATATTTAATAAAAATGTGTTGAAAAAGTACACAAAGACTTCACATCAATAGATATAAATAACAGATTGAGATAAAACATAGGTGAAAATATTGGGCCAGATTGGGACATATTGTTTGGAGTAAAAACACTGGCCGCATTGTAAAGAGACAAGACCAATATATACTTTTTGAGTAAATTCTGTGTAAATGGTGCTAACCACATAACAAGCTCAATTTAAGCCAAATTAAGGCGTAAAGTAATGTAATAAGATCAATCCCTAGGCGTGCCAGAAGGCATCATTATAAAGTCACATGACCATTGTATTTGGCAAAGATGCATTTAAGAAACAGTTTGCTCTACCCCTATGTTAATATAAGAAAGGATAGAGCACCTTGAAGTCATGATCGTTCAGGCAAAACCATACTTTACTACAGTACACATGGTGGTAGAACAAACTGTATTACTTTTCTAAATTGTCGAATGTAAGACAAACCTGTTTTATTGGAGATTGGAGATGCATTGCTGCAAATTGAAAATCCACAAACAGGGCTAAATGAGAGGCTGTTCCACCTAATTGTCTGCTTTCTTACATTCAGAGATGACATATATGTCCTAAACATAAGAAAACACCCTCACATAGGTAGTCTAGGGTCAAATAGGTCAAATGATATCGTATTATCCTTTCAGTGTGTGGTTATCCAAAATCCAGTGCAGCAAAATATAGGATTTAAATGAAAGTTAGTTGCCCTACATGATACCCTAACTGTCAATTGCAACCGATGTAAATGGATGGCTTAGATAGTGAAATGATGTTGCTGTGGGACGAACATGACAGAGGAAGACCAACAGCAGTCATATTTTTTTTTCTGTCGTTGTGGACATAAGTTCCACTTTTATTATCAGGTCCATTTTCAACCACTTGGTACACTCTCTTCCTGCTAGAGGTGCAAGCTAGAGTCCAACTAGACAAACTTAGCTCAGTCAACACCTTCAATTGTTCTCAAGATTTCATAAACCAGGTGATGATTGGACAATGAACAGTTGTGATGATTGTGAAAGACTTCAGTTGTTGGTACATGGTCCTTGTTTTGTATGGTGGTAAACAGTGCCAGGTGGAATCCTGCATCAAAGCCAACCCAATTGATGACCATGTAGTGTCCTGGACGAGGGTTCAGGGAGGAAGGGCTGGGCTGAGGCTCACTAGATACATAGGTACATATGTACCCAAAGAAATGGGCAACTACACATGGCATAAATAATACTATTTCCAAATGTACACTATATAAAACAACCACTAACTGATATCCAGAGACATGCTCAACAGACATATGATCGTACTTATCAACACAACCCCAATGTAGAATATCATATCATATCTCTTTAATATATGCATATTACATTGGTAATCATATTTTGCTGTAATTAGGAAAATAATCTCCTCAAAAGCATTCAGTATACAACTTTATCGAATTAGTGAAATACAATTGAAATTATAAACTTAAGAAATTAGTTTAAGAGTAAAATTAAGCACTTTCCTATTATTAGAATAAACTTAGCAGTTTAATATTTAGGCTCTGTGCATGCCAACATCATGACTGCTAAAATCCTGTTACACAAAAGAAGCCAAGGCTAGCTCTTAGCACTGCCTCCTATACACATCAGTGTTGACTTCTGGTTTCCCAGTGTCACCTGAACAATACCATGCTGCTGGACCCAGCTGTTTAACAAGGTGTTCATGCCACGTTACAAGTCTGCTTATGTCATGGTGTCAGAGATGTCTGTCCAAGGCTGTCACCAAGAGAGACAATTATCAGTGGAATACCAAAACATTCCTGAGAAATCTTATTACAAATAAGATATTTCTATAACTGAAACAATTACACGTTGAATCTGCAAGTAATAATGCACACGGTCACATGCACTGGCATCTGGTCAGTGTTGTCTTATAACAGGGCACAGATTACAAGGTCAAAATCAGATTTTAAAAATATAACCTTACCAGAGTTCAAATCCTTATATTAAACATCTAGAAATATAATTCCAATATACTGTATATCGCCATGTTTTTCGTACCTAGAATGAGCAGTGTTTTAAGAGGAGGCATCCTATACACAGGGCAGAGGATCTCATGTTTTTTACTAGCTGTATAACTTTCAGGTTCCACTGGCGATGTCACCAGCATTTGATAGCCAGCCTGGCACTGATGTTGTTTGACAGTAAATCTTCGCATTTCACCTGAAATAACTGTTCCAAGAACTATTTCTGTATATAAACACTTATTGTATCTGATTTCCTTGTTCTTACTACATTTTTCCTGCAAATAAACTTAAAATGAGCCTCGCCTCAAGCAAGGTTGCTTCCATGTTTTTATTGCAAATGTAGGGATTGTGTATTGGCTTGGGATGGGCTTCATTCCAGTATGCCTTATAGATGGGGTATATAAATAAGCACAGATTTTGAAGGCTTTTACAGGGATGTTGCCTTATGCGCGGGGGTCACTTTATAGACGGCAATATACAGTATGTCATTATACCTGTGCACATTGACAAGCAGGAAATTGAAATAGATTTAGAAAAACAATTGTCTCGATACATCCTAAAGGTCATCAATGCGAGAGCTACAAAGAGGCAGTCTTCATGAGAAAGCCACATGCATTACAAGGTCTGGTGGCGACAAGACAGTACACACCATCCCATCCTGACCAAATATCATGTGTCAGTGAATGAGGGTGGGAGTTTCTTATGGAGAGCAAATGGAAATGTGATACTGCCCTTGGCTTCCCCTTGTCTGTGGAAACCATCAACAATGATTAGCATGCAACAAGACTTACACTGGCACATGATCATCCTATATACTGCTTTCAAACAAGGACCAAATCACCAAAACTATAGGGTGAGCTATGTGTAAGCTGAAAGGCTGACCATTGGTACATTTCACAGCATCTTCATCATACTGCATGAGAAAGACATATGCAAAAACTTAAGTAGTTTGATAACAAGTTTGGCATTAAACATTTTAAGGAAATTATCATTTTTGGAATTAGTCAATCTCATTAAAATAAGGTTTTAGTGCTTTCTACAGCTAAACCAAAGATCTGAGTACATCGCATTACAGGTCACGTCAATGCGACCTTTTGCGAACTTTGACCGACCAATCAAACAACTAACAGGCAGCTCAACATCAACCTATGAGAAAAAGCAGCTTTCTCAAGTTTTATGGCACCAGTTTGAAAATGATGACTTCCATGCTTGAAACATATTTTGACAAAGTTCTTGATTCAAACTTTCAAAATTGAACAAAAGAACATTCTGGAATGACCAATATATAGGTGATATTGTATGGCAGTACTTCCCACAGGCTGCTGAAAGTCTTTTGTTTCAAATTTTCATTCATCTCATCGTACAGCCCAAACTGTCATTCGGAATACACCATGTTAACATTTGTAAAGTTACTGATTACTAAAATAACATTCCAACTGTCACTTTTCGATCGGGAAAGCAACACTCTGATTAGTCAGATGAAAGGTCATTCTGACATGACCCGTTATGGGATGTCCTCAGATCTTGTTAAGCAGTAGCGAGCACTAAGATCTGATTTTAATGAGATTGGGAATTCTTGCTTTGAGAACATGCATACAGATTTCCTCAGAAGGTGGATTTATCTCTTTCACTCTTCCAGCATTTCCACACAAGATCAGATTGAAATGCTACAAATATTTCCTCTTGTAAATAATATACACTGTCAACAATCAGTGGGATGTATCATGACGGAATGTTCAATAAATACCCAAGTGTACATCACTGTAACAACATATAGTGTTATTTACAACCTACCTGGACAGTAGTGTGGTGTGCAGCACACAACATGTCACCAGGGAACATGAGTACATAATGCTGACTGTTTATGATACATACTATGTCGATTTACATTAAGATCAACTATTTTACAAAAAATTCAGTTTGGTTATCAAAATGAAAAATATCTAAAATCAATTTGAGTGGACAACAATATTGCACTTATGACCATCATAAAACAGTGTCTGACAATGTAAAACTCTTCAGCATTTGTCATTTTCATGTCCTACATCTGCTTTATCACTCATTATGCAACAATCGGTGTACGGGCAAATTAAGTATCCCCACAAACCCATTAGAAAGCAAACATTCTCCAACACACTAGAGAGGTTACATATACCTTAAACCATCAACAACGAAACTAACTTACAGCCTTCCCAGAAAGCCCCATACCACCATGCTACGATGTAGTGTGAAGGCAGTCCTGGACAATCCCACACGGATGTACATGACCCTCACCCCACTGCCAGGAGATAAACAGCACATGTATTCATGTATAAAACATTACTTTCGACACAAACACACAACTAGAAGCTCTGGTAGTAGTAGATGTCTTCATCATACTGGTAGACAGCCACATGGCTTCCAGTTCCGGCGTATTGTGAAGTGATAGTACATGAGTAGAATGATTACGGCACACATGACATAGAACATCATGCACATGCCAAGGTCCACCCCATTGAGCCCCCAGCCTTTCCGCAATGTGTGATACTGCCTGTCCTGGTGGATGTTCTCCTGGCTGTCTGACCTACGAGCCTGCTCCCAGATCTGTCGCTCCATCTTCTGCTGGAATGCCACTTTCTTCTGCTTTCTGAGCGTGTGAATCTTCTCCAGGTCTTGAGCACGCTGATGTTTCTCCCACCAGTCAAGCTCCCCTCTGTCTCGGACCCTTGCATCTTTCAGGGCTGTCTGCCTGCTGTCACTCACAATATTGTCCCGTCTGTACAAGCTCACAAGGTAAGTCAATACCTGGGCCTCATCCCAGTCTGTGTTGTCCTTGTGACACTTGGGACATGACGTCCTGGAGGGGAACTGAAGCTTGGGGTGCTGGGGGTCCTCTGACAGGTCTCCATGGAGTCGCTTGTTGGCCTTGTTGTGTGCCCGCCACAGCCACAACACAGTGTCAGACCCATCATGAACCTCTTGCTCTACTGTAGAGGCCATCTTCAGAAAATTATGTGAGCATTCTTCACAGCCAAAAAAATTCTTCATGTAACCACTGATGCCAAGCAACACTTCCTGTGGGTTGGTCCCTGAAACAACAATCACAGATTTATCAAGCTATCATTTTGAAACAGCAGGTTCTATAAAATATTCATTGTTGTGCATATAACTAGCACACTGTTTATTTCTTTTCACTATCAATATTCTGCTTCATGTGACTCCAAACAAATCCAAAAGGATGTCTTCGAGACAATCTTATCTTGCACTACACAAGCAACTTCAAGTGGCTTTCCAGAACAAAATACCAGGTATTTCCTACACATCTAGAATTGATCAGACAGAACAGCCAAGTGCTCTATATACACGTAGTTCCCAGGACTAACACTGTATATTTATACTGAGGAGGGAAGGTCCCACAAACTGATTCTGGACAAAGAATAGTTGAGTTATTAGCCACATACAATACTTCTGCATAGGCTAAACATGGTTACCAAATTGGGAGCTCATGATACTGTCCTGTTATAGATAACACTGTTGATCTGCCTTAGCTTTGGACCGTTTTGTTCTGCCTAAAACTCGTCATTTTATTGGTTATAATGCTTCAATGCATATCATGTGTGTTCATTACTTTAACCCTGCGGAAAGTTTGGGGAAGAATAGGCCCCCAGTACACTGTATTTGTTGTACAATACAGACTTCGAGGTCATTAAATAACTGGATATTATATCTCACTTCTTCTCATTGCTATGGTTCCATTTGATTTAATCATAGATATATTGAAAAAAAATTCTGTCTGGGAGATGGGGGAATGTGTATGGTTTTACATCACTTTTGGCATGTTTATCAACATTCCAGCAATATCACGTCAGGAAACACTAGAAATCAAACAATAGTTAGCACTGTGTATAATTCTAAGAATACTATCTCTATTACATCATAACCGTAAATATCTTAACTGCCAACATATCTAATACTAATAGTTGTGAGGCAAACCCATTGCTCTGAACAAATGCAACTGCACATTTACACTCAGCGGGACATCGGACTCATTCATGTAATGAGTTTATTTTAGATAATTATTGGAGTATATATATATATATATATATATATATATATATATATATATATATATATATATATATATATACTCCAATAATTATATATATAAACCAGTGATGACGAAGAACAGTGCAAGTTGAAGTTGTCAGCCATTTTGGGGTACAAGGACCCTGTACCCTCTGGCACTGGTCTTCCTTTGACATCCTGATCTCGGCAAGTCCCTCACATGTCTATGCAATGTGAGTTTTCTAACGAGTCAACTGATGACAGTATGATGAATTTTCAACACAATAGCCCGACATGACATGCCAGTGATTTGCCACCTTTGATTTTCTGGGAAAGTACGCTTAGGCATTTCAGTTTTTACAACAGTTCCAAAGACAGACTATCAAATTCGTAGAACTTTCAATCAAAATTAATAGCACTAATGGCTCAAGAACTTTCTGTCATCAAACTTGAATTTCTGTATAGAGACCCCTTAGGTGTGCATATGGCTCGCATTAACGCACCCACGAGGTTGGGCAGATGATGTGGCTTCCAGATCCTCTAGTTTCAGCATTTAAAGATGTCACTTCCCTTTCTATGTTTCCATGAGTTTTGTTTCCTTTGTGTGATACTGGGCATACTTCTGACATCACCACTTCTGAGATCACTTGTGACGTCACTTCTGATGGATATAACTTGTTGCACTTTAGGCTAACACAACAATATCCATTACCACTTCTCGGGCTTATAAATAAGTCATCATTTCCCACTGATGACGTCACTTCTGTTTCCTGTCGGTGATATTTCATATATTTGACTTTTTTCCAGTATTGATGTCTCCTGTGATGTAATTTCCCTGTGGCCAAGAATTACATGGAGAAACTTTATGTCACACAGATCCATGATTCCAGGTGTTAGCCTGAGATCTGCCCACCACCAGTAGACAAGGATTGAAATGCCAACTCACCTTGTGTCTTGGTACTCCCTGGAATCTTCGCTGGCAAAGATCATTTATTGTCTATGGCCAATGCTAACGACTGATTTTTGACCTGAAAGATATTCTGCTCCAGTCTTGTGCATATCAATGGTCTGCTTGCTGACACCTAGGGCCACAGCTAGGAGAAAAGCTGTCATTTTCGAAGCTGTTGGCAGTGTAGTATTTCACATGGGTTCGTATGGTGGTTCCATAACAGCTAATAGCACAAAAGATAAATTCCATTTAGGAAATGTGCATAGTATTCCTGTGAATATGACCTCATAAGTCGATTTAGTACTGGGTGAGTACCTACTGAGAGTGTCCATCACGTTCTGTAGTCTTCAATCATGCCATGTCTGAAATTCTTATTCTTTCTGGGATGGAGAAGGAAATCAGCATTTATAGGTATCTCTTGTACAGATGGCTGATGAAGCTAGCCTCCATGTGCTTGCCACTGTTTGTGCAGCTGACTTAGGCTTGCATTTTTGCCATGATAATTTCCAGGTGTAGGGTCTCGGTGCAGAAGTTTGCTATGCTCTTCCATTAGGAGCAGTTACAACTTTTTAACCATGTTCTGTAGGGCCATGCTGGAGGTATCAGTATGATCAGGCAATCCGTGTCCTTCATCGTCCTCAGTACTCTGTCTAGCAGAGACCCAGTGGGGAATGTGGATACTACCTCCCAACAACCTGGTTGGGTGTGTGCTTAAGATTGTATCACTTGCTTATCTGTTTTACCGAGGTTCAAGGATTCCCATGATAAGTTGAGACCATGCCCCTTTATAGAAGATGTCTTGAGAAGGTACTTACACTGACTTGTCAGGGTTAACCAGGAAGCCTACCGGTAGGTATGAAAGTAGTTGAATAATGAAGACTGTGTTTTGATTGATTTATGATTTGTAATGATTGGCCGATAGGAAGTCATTGATGTGCTGTCTTACTAGATTTAGATAAGCAAAGCCAATGACGGGGTTGGTGATTAGGGTACACAGCAATGGAGCCGAACAATAGAACGTTTAACTTGAACCTCTGCCCGTTGACTGCAAATTGTAGATAAGGTCGACAACTTGGATGCATGGGGATGTGAAGACAGGCTACCTGTAGGTCGGGATTTATCTTATAACATCCTTGTCTGAGGGAGCTCCTTAGCTTCTTGACCGACTCCATTTACAACTTTGGCAATGCTCTTTCATAATCTGATATATCCTAGAATTTTGATCAACCAGTACATCCTTGCCGAGAGAGTATTTTGTAATTTCAGTATCTCCTGAGATACGGATGATGTTAGTGCTGACATGGATCAAGATATGGTTTTAGAGAGAACTGATGCAGGTTAAGGGACAGCAGTGGGTTTAGATGGAGTGCCCACCCTTCCCTTCAGGCCCCACATACATCAGTGGATTGACATCCAGCGAGGTACACCTGCTCCTTTTCATCAAGGGGAGGATGGGACAGGCAATGAGAACTCCCCCTTCTAGGGGAGACGGCGCCTCTTTGTGTCACCATCTTGTCACCCAGAGTGTTTCCCTGTGGAGGAAAGCAATCCAGGAAGAGACACTTCATCTGCTTTCATCCAATTCTTAGTTGTAGTTAGTACGGTCAACGTTTTTGTTAATGATCTAGTATTGGCTTAGTATCCCAAGACTCTGAAGGCTTATCAAACTTCTGCTGAGATAGATGTTTGCAGGAGTTACATCTAGAGCTTAGAGAACACACGCTCTTTTTTCATGACTGGCATCTAGGGTGTGGATCAGCAGTCACTTGATCCATGCAGCACACTGAGCACACGCCAGATGGTGACGGAGAGGGTGAGTCCATCTCCCACCAAACATTTCTAAACTAACTACATACAAGAACGATCTTTCATGTAATACTCACCTAATCTGTAAATTCTGCTCCATGTTTGTCTGTACTTGTCTTTAAGACAATCTCAAGAATTGAAGAAGTTACAGTGTGAAATAACAAAACAAAATGTGTTCAGATGTGATACATCATGTGTTTACATCTGGACACACAGGAAAGACATAACATTTTGCTGCCTCGTGCATGAGCAGTTGCATCAGTGTGGAGGATAGGGTTTGCCTCACAACTATTAGATATAGTGGCAGTAAAGAGGACATCTGTATAGCATGGAGGGGAGGGTGGAAATCTATGTCAACCTAATATAAACTGGCAGAGGAGGGGGGGTAGGGGGAATCTCTGTTAACCTTATAGTAACTGGGGGGGGGGGGGGGGGGGGGGGGGGGATCTTTACTGAGAGCCAAAATCTCATGAATACTTACTGAGATGAGACAGATGAGAGGAAACAGTAAGTGTATGAAACAGTGTCCACATGCCACAAGGGTAACCACGGTAACGTGTCTCACTACCAGCACAGCCAACCCATGTCACATCATCTGGCAGGAAACTCCCTTTGGCCTGGTAACATAAAGATCATACAGGATGTCAGTTACTTCTCGTGACATACAGATCATACAACACATCAGTTACTTCTGGTGACAAACAGATCATACAGGATGTCAGCTACTTCTGGTGACATACAGATCATACAGGATGTCAGTTACTCCTGGTAACATACAGATCATACAGGATGTCAGTTACTTCTGGTAACATACAGATCATACAGGATGTCAGTTACTTCTGGTAACATACAGATCATACAGGATGTCAGTTACTTCTGGTGACATACAGATACTACAGGATGTCAGTTACTTCTGGTAACATACAAATCATACAACACATCAGTTACTTCTGGTGACAAACAGATCATACAGCACATCAGTCACTTCTGGTAACATACAGATCATACAGGATGTCAGTTACTTCTGGTGACATACAGATCATACAGGATGTCAGTTACTTCTGGTGACATACAGATCATACAGGATGTCAGTTACTTCTGGTGACATACAGATACTACAGGATGTCAGTTACTTCTGGTGACATACAGATACTACAGGATGTCAGTCACTTCTGGTAACATACAAATCATACAGCACATCAGTTACTTCTGGTGACATACAGATCATTCAGGATGTCAGTTACTCCTGGTAACATACAGATCATACAGGATGTCAGTTACTTCTGGTAACATACAGATCATACAGGTTGTCAGTTACTTCTGGTGACATACAGATCATACAGGATGTCAGTCACTTCTGGTGACATACAGATACTACAGGATGTCAGTCACTTCTGGTAACATACAAATCATACAGCACATCAGTTACTTCTGGTGACATACAGATCATTCAGGATGTCAGTTACTTCTGGTAACATACAGATCATACAGGATGTCAGTTACTTCTGGTGACATACAGATCATACAGGATGTCAGTTACTTCTGGTGACATACAGATCATACAGGATGTCAGTTACTTCTGGTAACATACAGATCATACAGGATGTCAGTTACTTCTGGTAACATACAGATCATACAGGATGTCAGTTACTTCTGGTAACATACAGATCATACAGGATGTCAGTTACTTCTGGTAACATACAGATCATTCAGGATGTCAGTTACTTCTGGTAACATACAGATCATACAGGATGTCAGTTACTTCTGGTGACATACAGATCATACAGGATGTCAGTTACTTCTGGTGACATACAGATCATACAGGATGTCAGTTACTTCTGGTAACATACAGATCATACAGGATGTCAGTTACTTCTGGTAACATACAGATCATACAGGATGTCAGTTACTTCTGGTGACATACAGATCATACAGGATGTCAGTTACTTCTGGTGACATACAGATACTACAGGTTGTCAGTTACTTCTGGTAACATACAGATCATACAGGATGTCAGCTACTTCTGGTAACATACAGATCATACAGGATGTCAGTTACTTCTGGTAACATACAGATCATACAGGATGTCAGTTACTTCTGGTGACATACAGATCATACAGGATGTCAGTTACTTCTGGTAACATACAAATCATACCGCACATCAGTCACTTCTGGTAACATACAGATCATACAGGATGTCAGTTACTTCTGGTGACATACAGATCATTCAGGATGTCAGTTACTTCTGGTAACATACAGATCATACAGGATGTCAGTTACTTCTGGTGACATACAGATCATACAGGATGTCAGTTACTTCTGGTGACATACAGATACTACAGGTTGTCAGTTACTTCTGGTAACATACAAATCATACAGGATGTCAGTTACTTCTGGTAACATACAAATCATACAGCACATCAGTCTCTTCTGGTAACATACAGATACTACAGGATGTCAGTTACTTCTGGTAACATACAAATCATACAGCAGATCAGTTACTTCTGGTGACATACAGATCATACAGGATGTCAGTTACTTCTGGTAACATACAGATCATACAGGATGTCAGTTACTTCTGGTAACATACAGATCATACAGGATGTCAGTTACTTCTGGTAACATACAAATCATACAGCACATCAGTCACTTCTGGTAACATACAGATCATACAGGATGTCAGTTACTTCTGGTGACATACAGATCATTCAGGATGTCAGTTACTTCTGGTAACATACAGATCATACAGGATGTCAGTTACTTCTGGTGACATACAGATCATACAGGATGTCAGTTACTTCTGGTGACATACAGATACTATAGGTTGTCAGTTACTTCTGGTAACATACAAATGATACAGGATGTCAGTTACTTCTGGTAACATACAAATCATACAGCACATCAGTCTCTTCTGGTAACATACAGATACTACAGGATGTCAGTTACTTCTGGTAACATACAAATCATACAGCAGATCAGTTACTTCTGGTGACATACAGATCATACAGGATGTCAGTTACTTCTGGTAACATACAAATCATACAACACATCAGTTACTTCTGGTGACATACAGATCATACAGGATGTCAGTTACTTCTGGTGACATACAGATCATACAGGATGTCAGTTACTTCTGGCGACATACATATACTACAGGATGTCAGTTACTCCTGGTGACATACAGATACTACAGGATGTCAGTTACTTCTGGTAACATACAGATCATACAGGACATCTAGCTTTCATGACAACCCTGTGGGTACATGAAATGCATCTAGCTGTCATGACAACCCTATGTGTGTACCTATATGGCATCTAGCTGTCATGGCAACCCTATGTGTGTACATGTATGCCATCCAGCTGTCATCACAACCCTATGTGTGTACATACATGGCATCCAGCTGTCATCACAACCCTATGTGTGTACCCATATGGCATCTAGCTGTCATCACAACCCTATGTGTGTACATGTGTGGCATCTCGCTGTCAGGACAACCCTATTTGTGTACATGTATGGCATCTAGCTGTCATGATAATCCTATGTGTGTACCCATATGACATCTAGTTGTCATGACAACCCTATGTGTGTACATACATGGCATCTAGCTGTCATAACAACCCTATGTGTGTACCCATATGGCATCTAGCTGTCATGACAACCCTATGTGTGTACATGTATGGCATCCAGCTGTCATCACAACCCTATGTGTGTACCCATATGGCATCTAGCTGTCATGGCAACCCTATGTGTGTACCTATATTGCATCGAGCTGTCATGGCAACCCTATGTGTTTACATGTGTGGCATCTCGCTGTCATGACAACCCTATGTGTGTACATGTATGGCATCTAGCTGTCATGACAACCCTATGTGTGTACCCATATGACATCTAGTTGTCATAACAACCATATGTGTGTACATGTATGGCATCTACCTGTCATGAAAATCCTATGTGTGTACATGTTTGGCATCCAGCTGTCATGCAACCCTTTGTGTGTACCTATATGGCATCTAGCTGTCATGACAACCCTATGTGTGTACATGTTTGGCATCCAGCTGTCATGACAACCCTAAGTGTGTACATATTTGGCATCCAGCTGTCATGACAATCCTATGTGTGTTCATGTTTGGCATCCAGCTGTCATGACAACATTTTGTGTGTACCCATATGGCATCTAGCTGTCATGACAACCCTATGTTTGTACCCATTTGGCATCTTGCTGTCATCACAACCCTATGTGTGTACATGTGTGGCATCTAGCTGTCATGATAACCCTATGTATGTACATGTATGGCATCTAGCTGTCATGATAACCCTATGTGTGTACCCATATGACATCTAGTTGTCATGACAACCCTTTGTGTGTACATACATGGCATCTAGCTGTCATAACAACCCTATGTGTGTACCCATATGGCATCTAGCTGTCATGATAACCCCATGTGTGTACATGTTTGGCATCCAGCTGTCATGACAATCCTATGTGTATACATGTTTGGCATCCAGCTGTCATGACAACCCTTTGTGTGAACCCATATGGCATCTAGTTGTCATGGCAACCCTATGTGTGTACATGTTTGGCATCCAGCTGTTCATGACAACCCTTTCTGTGTACATGTATGGCATCTAGCTGTCATGACAATCCTATGTGTGTACATGTTTGGCATCCAGCTGTCATGACAATCCTTTGTGTGTACATGTATGGCATCTAGCTGTCATGACAATTCTATGTGTGTACATGTGTGGCATCTCGCTGTCATGACAACCCTTTGTGTGTACATGTATGGCATCTAGCTGTCATGACAACCCTTTGTGTGTACATGTTTGGCATCCAGCTGTCATGACAAATCTATGTGTGTACATGTATGGCATCTAGCTGTCATGACAACCCTTTGTGTGTACATGTATAGCATCTAGCTGTCATGACAACCCTTTGTGCGTACATGTTTGGCATCTAGCTGTCATGGCAACCCTATGTGTGTACATGTATGGCATCCAGCTGTCATGACAACCCTGTGTCCGACATGTATGGCATCTAGTTGTCATGACAACCCTTTGTGTGTACATGTTTGGCATCTAGCTGTCATGACAATCCTATGTGTGTACATGTATGGCATCCAGCTGTCATGACAACCCTATGTGTGTACATGCATGGTATCTAGCTGTCATGACAACCCTATGTCTGTACCTGTATGGCATCCAGCTGTCATGGCAACCCTATGTGTGTACATGCATGGTATCTAGCTGTCATGACAACCCTATGTCTGTACCTGTATGGCATCCAGCTGTCATGGCAACCCTATGTGTGTACATGCATGGTATCTAGCTGTCATGACAACCCTATGTCTGTACCTGTATGGCATCTAGCTGTCATGACAATCCTATGTGTTTGCATGTATGGCATCCAGCTGTCATGACAACCCTATGTGTGTACCTGTATGGCATCTAGTTGTCTGGACCACGCCTCTCCTCTCAGTTTGCCTGTTACAGTGTTTAGCCACTTCTTGACATTGTTCAGGTATGAAATTATCTCCTCCCGACCAGGAAAATACTGAAATACAACAAACACACTCTGTTAACAAGTTCTGTCAAAATTTCTCTAGATACTCTCAGTTTCATCAAAAGAAGAAGAAATTACAAATCCATCATTATCATTTTGTCTTTCATCATAGGAACTTAGTTCGTGAAACCTAGGAAAGGTAAGTGAATCATGGGACTATCTTGTTGCATGTCTATTGGAATTATTGGGTTTATATGACTTGTGGAATTTTAGATGGAAACCCAGTTGTAATGAAAACAAAATTCTGAAAATAGAGTGATACTTATTTTTTTAAATATCTAAAAGGGGAGGTTTGTTCCTTTGTTCCAGCACTCTTTCGGAATAGTTAACACAATCCCAGCATTGAGCAAGGAATGTAAACACAATCCCAGCATTGAGCAAGGAATGTAAACACAATTCCAGCACTGAGCAAGGAATGTTAACACAATTCCAGCACTGAGCAAGGAATGCAAACACAATTCCAGCACTGAGCAAGGAATGTTAACACAATTCCAGCACTGAGCAAGGAATGTTAACACAATTCCAGCACTGAGCAAGGAATGTTAACACAATTCCAGCACTGAGCAAGGAATGTTAACACAATTCCAGCACTGAGCAAGGAATGTTAACACAATTCCAGCACTGAGAAAGGAATGTTAACACAATTCCAGCACTGAGCAAGGAATGTAAACACAATTCCAGCACTGAGCAAGGAATGTTAACACAATTCCAGCACTGAGCAAGGAATGTAAACACAATTCCAGCACTGAGCAAGGAATGTAAACACAATTCCAGCACTGAGCAAGGAATGTTAACACAATTCCAGCACTGAGCAAGGAATGTAAACACAATTCCAGCACTGAGCAAAGAATGTTAACACAATTCCAGCACTGAGCAAGGAATGTTAACACAATTCCAGCACTGAGCAAGGAATGCTAGCACAATTCCAGCACTGAGCAAGGAATGTTAACACAATTCCAGCACTCTTTCAGGAATGTTAACACAATTCCAGCACTGAGCAAAGAATGGTAACACAATTCCAGGACTCTTTCAGGAATGTTAACACAATTCCAGCACTCTTTCAAGAATGTTAACACAATTCCAACACTGAGCAAGGAATGTTAACACAATTCCAGCACTAAGCAAGGAATGTAAACACAATTCCAGCACTGAGCAAGGAATGTTAACACAATTCCAGCACAGAGCAAGGAATGTAAACACAATTCCAGCACAGAGCAAGGAATGTTAACACAATTCCAGCACTGAGCAAGGAATGTTAACACAATTCCAGCACTGAGCAAGGAATGTAAACACAATTCCAGCACTGAGCAAGGAATGTAAACACAATTCCAGCACTGAGCAAGGAATGTAAACACAATTCCAGCACTGACCAAAGAATGGTAACACAATTCCAGCACTGAGCAAGGAATGTTAACACTATTCCAGCACTGAGCAAGGAATGTTAACACAATTCCAGCACTGAGCAAGGAATGTTAACACAATTCCAGCACTCTTTCAGGAATGTTAACACAATTCCAGCACTCTTTCAGGAATGTTAACACAATTCCAGCACTGAGCAAAGAATGTTAACACAATTCCAGGACTCTTTCAGGAATGTTAACACAATTCCAGCACTCTTTCACGAATGTTAACACAATTCCAACACTGAGCAAGGAATGCTAACACAATTCCAGCACTGAGCAAGGAATGTTAACACAATTCCAGCACTGAGCAAGGAATGCTAGCACAATTCCAGCACTGAGCAAGGAATGTTAACACAATTCCAGCACTCTTTCAGGAATGTTAACACAATTCCAGCACTGAGCAAAGAATGGTAACACAATTCCAGGACTCTTTCAGGAATGTTAACACAATTCCAGCACTCTTTCAGGAATGTTAACACAATTCCAGCACTCTTTTAGGAATGTTAACACAATTCCAGCACTCTTTCAGGAATGTTAAGACAATTCCAGCACTCTTTCAGGAATGTTAACACAAGTCCAGCACTCTTTCAGGAATGTTAACACAATTCCAGCACTCTTTTAGGAATGTTAACACAATTCCAGCACTCTTTCAGGAATGTTAACACAATTCCAGCACTGAGCAAGGAATGCTAACACAATTCCAGCACTCTTTCAGGAATGTTAATACAATTCCAGTACTCTTTCAGGAATGTTAATACAATTCCAGCACTCTTTCAGGAATGGTAACACAATCCCAGCAATGAGCAAAAGGAATGCTAACACAATCCCAGCACTGAGCAAGGAATGCTAACACAATCCCAGCATTGAGCAAGGAATGCTAACACAATTCTAGCACTGAGCAAGGAATGGTAACACAATTCCAGCAATGAGCAAAGAATGTTAACACAATTCCAGCACTGAGCAAGGAATGCTAACACATTTCAAACACTCTTTCAGGAATGTTAACACAATCCCAGCAATGAGCAAAGAATGTTAACACAATTTCAACACTGAGCAAGGAATGTTAACACAATCCCAGCACTGAACAAGGAATGCTAACACATTTCCAACACTCTTTCAGGAATGTTAACACAATCCCAGCACTTTTTCAGGAATGTTAACACAATCCCAGCACTTTTTCAGGAATGTTAACACAATTCCTGCACTGAGCAAGGCATGTTAACACAATTTCAGCACTGAGCAAATAATGTTAATACAATTCCAGCACTGAGCAAGGAATGTTAACATAATTCCAGCACTCTTTCAGGAATGTTAACGACCCGTGAAGATCCGGGGTTGAATAGGTCTTCAGCAACCATGCTTGCTGTAAAAGGCAACTATGCTTGTTGTAAGAGGAGACTAATGGGATTGGATGGTCAAGCTCGTCGATGACGCATGTCATCAATCCCAATCGTGTGGATCGATGCTCATGATATCAATCACTGGATTGTCTGGTCCAGACTCAATTATTTACTTAGACCGCCATCATATAGCTTGAATATTGCTGAATGCGGCGTTAAACAACAAACAAACAAAATCAGGAACGTGAACACAATCCATGTACCGATCAAGGAATGCTAACACAAGAATTGTTAGTACAATTCCAATTCTGATTAAGAAATGTTAGTACAATCGCAGCACTGAGCAAGGAATGCTAACACAATTCCAACACTTTGGATCCCTTGCTACATGGCTACCTTTGGGGTCCCAAAAATTGATAAGCTTTATTATATACCATCTGCGGTCTAGACATGATGATCTACCATTTAAATTGTATTTCCTGCTCTCCAAGGCATTGTTTTATTTACAGAGATTATGATTACTGTGTGTATTTTCTTGTAAACTAAGCCAGAAATAGCAATCAGCTGTGCACACGTTTCCTCCCAATCTACCGGTGATTCAGGAAAAAAGTACCCAATGATACAACTTGAAAGAATTTTGATGCAATCATGGGAATAAATTGCATCTGAAATTATTATTCTATCAGGAATAATATATTCTAGTATCATGTTATATTAGTTGCAGCTTTCACTCCATATATTTTAAGTTATAAGGGTCACTGTAGGGACCTCCCACGCTACATGTATTTCGATTGCGAAAAAGTTGTGTTGACATTTAATAGTCAAACTGTCTCAAATACAACTTTTAACGAGTCAAAGTATGGCATTAATGATATATTTATCCATTCTCTTGCAATTAGAATTTGTTTCAAGGTGTCAATAGCGGTAATCTGCCCATGGTTGCTGTAAATCACGGTGAGTTGTGCGATCTACTGATCACTTGACACATGATTTCGCCGAAATTTATGTTAACATTATTGAATGAAATTTTGAATAAAATTAATAAAATATATTACAAACATAAATCCAGATAAACAATGAACAACTTTTTATAACAAGATAGTGTAATAATGGGATTAAATTGCGTACTTCAGTTTGGATTTGTTGACTGGTATTTCCGGTGATCAGCTGATAATATTTTTTTAGATGGGGAAAACAATGTATCATTGGAAAACTTGAGTTTATTAAAAATGTTAGTATTTTGGGAGCCATGCTTTACAGTGCACTATAAAGGAGTTTGCACTATACTGAAGAGCGTAATAGTGAGGGAACACTGTACTTCCATTGACTTGGTAAATTCAAGCTAATCAATGCTAACTAATCAAAGGGAGATAATTATTGAAATAGTTTCAAAGTTGTCTCCCTTCCATCATTCCAATTTCCAGTGGTGGCTTTTAGTGCAGGCAATAAACAAAGAACATACGTTTCCTGTATCCACTTAAAACATCTAATCAGTAAATATGGGTCCAACTTTAGTTTAAAGGAATTAAATCAGAGTTAAGCAAAAAGAAAGTTAAAATTTATTTTTTTCATCATGAAATCTTAAGAAAAAATATAAATCTGAAGGAACCAGTGTATGTTTCATTTCTGTTCAAATGACTTCGCAGAGATATTTACTTGAATGAAAGTTTCAAGAATATTTCTTTTACAAGCCGCGACGCCAACTCTTGGAATGCAAAATCCCCCCAAAATATATGGCTAAATTTTAATGTCAAACTCTCTTCCAATCCAGGTGGTGGCTCAATATGAAAACTTCTGCATATTGTCATCGTAGATCATAGTTTCAATAAAAAAAATTATAAACAGAATGATGTATAAAACTTGGCATTTGCAATAATTTAAAAAAATGGTCCTTTTATATCTATAATATCCATCATATTCATATCATTTCATAGCATGTGATTCTGCCAATGTGGCTTTTTTTTCATGTTGTGTTTTTCACCCCAGCCACAGTATGATGTGTACTGGCATGAACAAGTCTGAATCCCCACTGAGTCCATACACATGACATCAATGTTTCAAATTCCTAGACCTTGGGTTGTTTAGGAGATAACAGTCATTTAAGAACCCCCACACAATTTTACCTTCATGAATCCTCCTGAAGTTCCAGACTCCAGTAAACAGACAGTCATACACCAGATGGATGTATGGCAACTAACCCAACACTCCATAAGCTAGCTCACTTGGGTCTTTCAGTCCTAGAGAGTTACTATCTACTTACACTATCAGCTCTATATATCAGCTAACATGTCAGAGTTTCAGTTTGTACAGTTTGTCAAGTAACATTATCTAAATAGTTTACGCGTTTACTTTTGAAGGCTCGACATTTTGTTTTAACAAGCATGAAATACTCATATCCCCCACCAATATGACATGTCTGGTGTGCAAGGCAAGAAATATTGTATTTTTTTCACATTTGCACTGGAAACAAGCACTAACGCAATTTTCAGTCTAAGTCAAAGTTGTTGCTAAGGAAACTCGAAAAATACATTTTTAAAAAATCCCAAACTATCAAAAGGCACCAGTTTGCCATTAGACCCATCTATGTGCCAAGTTTGGTTAAGATATCTCTCATGTTTTTTTAGTTCTGCTCGGTAAACGAAACGTGACAGAAGGATAGAAGGACGGACAAACAGCACCCATTCTTAAATTATAGAATAATGTAAAGGTAATAGAAGTACAAGATACACCCAAGTCACAACAACATCAGGAAGGTAAGGCTTTGATGATGCTACATGTACAATACTTACCAGTAATGTTAATCAGAGATATTGGTCAATGGCCCATTCAAAATGACAAGGTTTAGGATTTTCTAAAGAAATTCAACGGAGTTGGTGAATGAGTAGGGCTTAACGCCACTTTGAACAGTATTTCAGTTCTATCAGTTTTCCTAAGGCATCTGCTCAACATTAAACCTGTCAAAGATGCAGCCTTTGAGAGTCAAACATTCTGGTTGGCCCTGCCTGTTGGTATGCAAGGCCTGTTGGTATGCAAGGCCAACAGTCTGTGACAAGTCACACATGCTGAATAATAATACATCTACTACAAACATGACTGAAATACCTTCACAAGAATTGTTATAAAGTTCTTCAGTGCTGTTACACCCTCTTCATCAATAGAGCTCTTAATGGCCACCTCCTGCTTCAAGCTGTAGTGTAGAGCTGATTCCAAGTCCTTCATGTGTACTAGGGCACTGAAACAAGCATAGTTGTAAACTTACTTATAGTCCAGGACCCACTTGCACAAAGCGATCTTAGTGCTAAGATGATCTTAACTCCCATACTTTAACATAGGCTTACAATAGTCGTAGCGCTAAGATCGCTTTGTGCAAGTGGGCCCAGGAGTACTAAGATGACTCTAGTAACTAAACTACAGTTATAACCAACTCAAAGGGACCTCTAATTTTAGTTCATTATAAGCATATATACAGTACACGGATGGGACCAAAAAACAGTTTGTTATGTCCATCAGTTCATTATAAGTGTGTTCTTAATAAATGTACATTACATTACTGCATTTGAGAAGGTCCACACTTACGACTGTGGGGGTCTGTCCTCTGCCTCCTTTCCCTGCTCGTACTGCCCCTCCCCATCTCCCTCCTTCCACACTTACGACTGTGGGGGTCTGTCCTCTGCCTCCTTTCCCTGCTCGTACTGCCCCTCCCCATCTCCCTCCTTCCACACTTACGACTGTGGGGGTCTGTCCTCTGCCTCCTTTCCCTGCTCGTACTGCCCCTCCCCATCTCCCTCCTTCCACACTTACGACTGTGGGGGTCTGTCCTCTGCCTCCTTTCCCTGCTCGTACTGCCCCTCCCCATCTCCCTCCTTCCACACTTACGACTGTGGGGGTCTGTCCTCTGCCTCCTTTCCCTGCTCGTACTGCCCCTCCCCATCTCCCTCGTTCTTCATTTCCTGGTCTTCATCCTCCTTCTTGTCACCGACCCTTACAAAGCTGTGCATTGTATTGTTGCTTGCAACCTTCTTTCCACTGAAGACTTGAATGGCACTTACAAACTTTGACCTATCTTGAATACCATAATCACCCCTGCAAAACAGATATTACTGACTGAACATACAACTCCCTTCGCTCAGGAAAATTCCAAGATAAATACAAGCAAAAGGTCCAAAAGAGGGGCCATTGTATTAGGTTCATATGAGCCTTAACACAGGCCTCACAGAGAAAATTGTATGGTGGGAAGTAAATACAGTAAATACAACCCTTGGCTTATCCAATTGGATCAGGTATGTTACACTGCCATACAGTTCTAATTTTGCATTTTAGTTGTCCATGGACAAGGCTAAAGAATTTGACAAAATGACATGAAATCTTTTGACATGAAAAACATTAGTATTTGATAAAATACATCACATACAGAATTTATTACTATCTCATGAGGCTGTTAGTGTTGGCATGAACCTTAAAGCACGACCAATAAATGAGATATTCCTGAAAGGCATCGCATACAATGCACAGACGAATGGACAGTTGGACAGTTGGACCACGTACAATGCACTAAGCTCACTTGAGTTCATGAGTGAAATGATTGGGCAGCTATTTCAATGTCAGACTTGCAACAAGGCTAAGGTAGGAAATGATTCACAATAATAGAATGGAGATTAAATACAATTGAAACTTTAGGATGGCACTGTTTCTTTTGAAGAAAGGTCATTGAAGCAATATCATTCAGCAGCTACTAAATGACATTCATAACTGCACAGATGGATACATGGAATAGGGGCTCCTTTGTAAGCATGACTTACATGACAACCTTATTGTATATGCCATCCTCATGAGCATGATTTACATGACAACCTTCTTGTATATGCCATCCTCGTTAGCATGACTTACACGACAACCTTCTTGTATATGCCATCCTTGTTAGCATGACTTACACGACAACCTTCTTGTATATGCCATCCTCGTTGGCATGACTTACATGACAACCTTGTATATGCCATCCTCGTTAGCATGACTTACACGACAACCTTCTTGTATATGCCATCCTTGTTAGCATGACTTACACGACAACCTTCTTGTATATGCCATCCTCGTTGGCATGACTTACATGACAACCTTCTTGTATATGCCATCCTTGTTAGCATGACTTACACGACAACCTTCTTGTATATGCCATCCTCGTTACCATGACTTACATGACAACCTTCTTGTATATGCCATCCTCGTTGGCATGACTTACATGACAACCTTCTTGTATATGCCATCCTTGTTGGCATGACTTACATGACAACCTTCTTGTATATGCCATTCTTGTTAGCATGACTTACATGACAACCTTCTTGAAAATGCCATCCTCGTTGGCATGACTTACATGACAACCTTCTTGTATATGCCATCCTTGTTAGCATGACTTACACGACAACCTTCTTGTTTATGCCATCCTCGTTAGCATGACTTACAAGACAACCTTCTTGTATATGCCATCCTTGTTAGCATGATTTACACGACAACCTTCTTGTATATGCCATCCTTGTTAGCATGACTTACACGACAACCTTCTTGTATATGCCATCCTTGTTGACAGAGTACAGTGAGGGAAAGGTGTTGATGCCAAACTTGGTGACATCTGCTTTCAGCATTCGTCGCACCAGGATGCTGGGCAGGTTCATCGTGTCCAGAATAACCTGTAAGAAGATGGATCAGAGTGACAGCATCAGCTGGTGAGTGTTGCTTAACACCACTCAGCAATATTACAGTTCATGAGATACAATATATGAGAGTCAGCTGTGGGACAGGACCCCCGCCATGATAGAGAGCATCAGTCAGCAATACTGTACTCTATGAGAGTCAGCCCTGGGATAGGACCCACACCATGATAGAGAGCATCAGTCAGCAATACTGTAATCTATGAGAGTCAGCCCTGGGACAGGACCCCCGCCATGATAGAGAGCATCAGTCAGCAATACTGTACTCTATGAGAGTCAGCCCTGGGATAGGACCCCCGCCATGATAGAGAGCATCAGTCAGCAATACTGTACTCTATGAGAGTCAGCCCTGGGACAGGACCCCCGCCATGATAGAGAGCATCAGTCAGCAATACTGTAATCTATGAGAGTCAGGCCTGGGACAGGACCCCCGCCATGATAGAGAGCATCAGTCAGCAATATTGTACTCTATGAGAGTCAGCCCTGGGACAGGACCCCCGCCATGATAGAGAGCATCAGTCAGCAAATACTGTAATCTATGAGAGTCAGGCCTGGGACAGGACCCCTGCCATGATAGAGAGCATCAGTCAGCAATATTGTGAAGATAATGTTAGGCTGGTCAATGTCAGTGTTGCTGTGTTGCTTTGTGAAATGATCTTTATCTCCTTCTGTTTCTGGTTATATCATTGACATAAACTTAAACAAGGTATTCCATATATCCTTCACTTACCTCTCTTCCCAGTACTGATTTTGGATCTTCGAAAATAAGAAAAACATATTCATGGTGCTCTTTTGCTTCTGTCCAGATTTCTTGTATTGTTCTGAAATTTAAATATTGTAGTCTTACATGATGATCTGGCATAGGGATGAATAGAGAACATTTGATATAAAACTTCATGAAATAGGACAATAATAGTGTCACAGCATTGTAGTTCACCTGGACTTGCAGTTCACAGCTTAAAAAACAAAGACAGCAACAGAACAAAAGTTCTCCCCATTCATAGTAACATCATCTCTGACTAATTGCTGAGGACTAACACTAAAATCTAACAAACTTAACAAATTTTAGCAATTCAGGAGTCATCATTGGTAGGAACAAGCATGTGAAGTGTCAACTTCAATGGTCAAACTGATTGTGAAGAGATATTGTTCAGAATGGCCATAAGAAGTTTCATCTTTATGTATGGTTGATATGTACCATAAAAGTCAAATCAACCATTACATGTAAAATATGGAACCTACATGCTTGCGGTATTGGTATCCAGCACAGATTATGTCTGGATTAGACTATGCTCAGTGATAGTCTTCACTAATCCTGTATCACCAAGGAAATATCTGACAAACTCTAAGCAGTAGCTTGGAATGCTGATCTGAATTCTTAATGAAAATCATTTCTGAGTGATATGCTTGCAGCCTCAAGCTGTACGATATATCAAAACCACTTCTAATTTGACAGTGTCACTATCAAGGACATGTAGTCTAAGATTGAATACCTCTCCAGCTCTCAAACATGATGGTGACACCCGAAGGATTGGAACTTTAAGTTGTAGCAAATAGCAAACAAGAGCCCAACAATCTCTGAGACTTTGAGGCACAAATATCTGGCAAACTTGCACTCAGCAGTAGCTTCTATTGACAATCTGAATGCTTGAATAAGAAAATATTGGCAAGTATTGGCAGATTAAAGTCATTTCGCATATCAACAAGAGCTTGGCAATCCGTCAAGAGTTTTGTTGAGACATCACCCAAAGTCCTGTCGTCTGAAACTGAGTACATCTGCGAAACATGATGTGGAACAATCAACTACTGGGCCAATATCAGTGGCCCAAACTGGTACATCCTCCACAGACATATCCCTCAGGTAATAGTTGGCCAAGGTGCTGTCTGTTCACTCCAAGATGCCAGTGAAAGGAACAGCATCCTGGTAGATCGTTTAACTTCCAGGTATTGACTCAAACTGGACATAGTGGCAATTCAGCAGCGTCATCATGCCCCAGTACTGATGACAGTAGTAATGAAACTTTGATCTGCCTCCCCTAGTAGTTGGTGTTGGACGACCATACCTCACATGATGCCCATGTCAACTTTGGCATCTGGTCACCTGTCAAATTTTATTTGCAACTTAAAGCCGGAACATAGTGATAGAATTGTTTGCAATTTTGTTGTGAATATCAATTTTCATAGTTACATGAAGTACATTTTCCGTTTTTGTTGATGCAGATTGTTGAGCAGAGATGAGCAGACAGAAAGGCCTAGTAGATGCGACTAAAAGAGAAGAAGAGGAACCCCGCAGATTGATGAGTGGCTTTTCACAGGGTGCAAGTTCAATGACTGGGTTTCTTGCGATCTCTTTAATTCTTTAATTCAATAAGGTGCAACCAAACGCTCTGTGATCTTGTCTCCCCCAACTTCAGAAGAACTTTAGGTAGTAGTGCTGATGGTTGAAAAGCGATTGAATGGATATTTTCCCCAATGGCCCAAGATCTCAAGCAAGGGGATCTGAAATTGGAGGCACAAACACTGAAAGCTGGTGGTTGTATCGATGTTGAGCGTGTCCAGCTGTTGACAGATCAACAGAATTGAGCAGATACTGTTGGAGTGGTGTGGAATCTCCTTGACAGGATGCAATATTAGTAGTGCCTGGGATGTGGCGAGCCCTGGCCTCCAGTGATGCACAGTCTATCAATCTATAGGACTGGAATGTTCTGCCAACCATATAACAAGAGTGTGTTAACCCCATCTTGCTGATGAAGTGTAATAGGATGTAGTATGCCATTGCTAGTGACTTTAGGCTGTTGATTTGAAGTCATTAGGAGGCCCTTGCCAGTGTTGAACAGGCCTCCTATGAACATAAGTGAGTGAACGGGACCAGGTGGCAACTTTTCGTTTCATCTGCCACCATTGCACACAAGCTGAACATTATTCCAGCACGAGGAATTATTTCCAGTTGACAGTGGTCTTTCTCCACACCTAGGAGAGTCAAATCTGTGTGAAAATGCAGTGGAAGGTCTTTAGGAACCCATTCCTACATTGCTGAATGTAATATAATCAGACAGAGGTAGCATATCCCCGTACAATGAGGACCACAGTTCGGTTACATTTATCATCACTACAAACACCAGCTGATGCACAGTCTGCATGTGATCCGAAAGATCAAAACACATAACTTTAAACATAACATCTGAAATTTCGTGGGGAGGACGAAGGATGTCGTAATGCAGGATAAGTATATAATTGTAAAAATATTTAGATTTTACTAAATTTTTTTACATATCCTGCATTACTCCTTAATGCATCTTTATCAGATGGCACGGCCGGTGGGCGTGCCTCACATGGGATCCATAATAAACCCCCGTCAAAGTTTGATGAATCCGCAATGCATACAAGTGTTGACCGGAACATATACCATTCCTGTCTTCAAGAAACAAGAGTCGATGCAAAAAGGAAAAACCTGAATAGGTGACAGAAATAGACTGAGGCGGGTAGCCAAAAACTAGAACTTACCTAAGTGCGAATGTGGAACGCAATAGAGCCCTCTAATCTTGGGTGATAAACGCCAGAGAGTTCGACAGGCCCCGCTCAGGGCATCAATGAATCAACAGCGCCGGCGTCAACATCTATGACCATTCCCAAGAGCGAATGCGGAAAACACAGGAGAGCCCTCTATTCTGGGGTAATAAACACCAGAGAGGTCATCAGGCCCCGCTCAGGCTATCGGAGAATAAGCAGCGTTGGCGTCGACATCGCCATCAACATCTACAACCATTCCTGTTGTCTGGAAACGAGAGTCGATGCATAAAGGAAAACCTGAATAGGTGACAGAAATAGACTGAGGCGGGTAGCCAAAAACTAGAACTTACCTAAGAGCGAATGTGGAACGCAGTAGAGCCCTCTAATCTTGGGTGATAAACGCCAGAAAGTTTGACAGGCCCCGCTCAGGGCATCAAAGAATCTAAGGCGCCGATGTCAACATCTATGACCATTCCCAAGAGCGAATGCGGAACACAGGAGAGCCCTCTATTCTGGGGTGATAAACACCAGAGAGGTCATCAGGCCCCGCTCAGGCTATCGGAGAATAAGCAGCATGGGCGTCGACATCGCCATCAACATCTACAACCATTCCTGTTGTCTGGAAACGAGAGTCGATGCATAAAGGAAAACCTGAATGGGTGACAGAAATAGAATGAGGTGATTAGCCAAAAACTAGAACCGACCTAAGAGCAAATGCGGAACGCAGTATAGCCCTTTAGTCTGGGGTGATAAACACTGGATAAGTTGGCGAGCCCCGCTCAGGGTATCGGAGAATCAGTGGCGTCAGGGATTGGTGACCTGTTGGTCTACAACCAGGGGACCAAAACTATGAACAGCCTTCCATGATCAACTGGATGGAGCAGTTACTGTGAAGAGCCATGATAGATGCGACCGCCCTTTAGTCTGGCCCCGCTCAGGGTATCGGAGAATCAGTGGCGTCAGGGATTGGTGACCTGTTGGTCTACAACCAGGGGACCAAAACTATGAACAGCCTTCCATGATCGACTGGATGGAGCAGTTACTGTGAAGAGCCATGATAGATGCGACCGCCCTGATCTCGTATGGGGTGTTAGCCTTTGGGGAGGGAGGAGACCAATAAGCTTGGAGGATGACCGACTGCGACAAGGGGGAGACAGGCAGGAAAAAGCATTTCCTAGACTTGCGCCAGACATTAGACCATCGTAGGAAAACCTTCAATGGCCTAACAGGGCATAATAAAAGCTCCATCTCTTTGTTGGCACCCACAATGGACGAGAGGGGGGGGGAGGTGAATGATCTATCAGGCAGTCTTAGTAATTGATTCTTGGCAATGAAGTCCCAGCACAGTCCAAGACACACAACGCCATGAGTACCACATTCGAACCGGACATCTCAGGGACGTGGAGCTCACTGACCTGTACAGGGGTAGTTGGAGCCAGTGGGAACACTGTCATCTTCATAAGTCATTGAAGGAAGATGAGTGGTTCAAAGTTGATCTCCGGAGCACAGTTGGTCACAACGTGGGCTGGTGCGTGCATTCCCAGAAACACTAGCCAATGACAAAGTGGAAGCGGCAGTGGAAGAGTGGGTAGTCATGGTAAATGAGGTCGTCTACAAAACTGCAATGTTGAAAAGTCAGCAACTTGGGTCCCCGATCCTGTCCTGTTGGGACGATACAAGGAAAGGTGTGGTCGCCTGCGAACCAAACCCCATGTAGACAAAATAAAGCCACTCCGCAACCCGACTGCCAAGGTACCGACTTAACCGGTTAGTCGGAAGTCGAAGCATAAGATAAGGTGCAAATCTGTAAAACTGTGGTTCGGGAAGATCGCACCCTACTGCACGAAGTAATGTGATTGTTTCCATCCCTTGAGTGTCGTATAGGCACTCCAGTTCTTATATCAAGGTGATGATGAAGGAAGGCAACACGATACTCGGCATGTAGTCAACAAGGGTCAATGGTATGATCGTGGGAAGAATTAGAAAATTGACGCTGCATCTTGTAACCAAGGCTGAAGATATAAATGTGTCGTAGTCTGAAGATCATACTATACGAAGTAAGGCAATCTTTTCCATCCCTGTGCTGTATAAACGCTACCGTTCTTATAGCGTGGGGACAATGAAACGTGGTGCCTTGGGACTGCCGAGTTGGAAGCAGAGGTCTACCATTTCCATCCTCTGTACATGGATGGACTATGACGGGCGTCTAGTTGAGTGGTTGCACCATGCATACAAGTAAGCATGCAAACCAATATGTAGAAATATATTGCACTGCACCCCATAGGTCAATTGACCTAATTCCGGTCAGGTT